CTCACTGAAGCTTCCTCTCATACAGAGAGTTGTATGTTCAAAGCAGGGTAATATATATTATGAATGTGCTCTATTTACTCAGGTTATGTAGAGGCATGTTGCTACAAATAGATGTGCTAACCTACTTCACAAATCTCCAGGTCTGCCTGGTAGGGAGAACTGCAGAGGACAAATGACTCTCTCTTAATGGTCAGTTAGAATGGGTGATGCATTCATGTGCGTGCCTGCCTCTAATATGTGTGCTCAGCTTCTTGCTCTTACAGAGCCAGCATACTGCTATGAGTAACACAGTGACTATATTGTTTTGCTCTCTTCACTTCTCTGAGTGATGAGAAGTTAATAATATAGAATCATAAACATGTGCAGTTGGAAGGGGCCTAGAAGGCCATTGGGTCCAACCCTCTGCTCAGGACTCGAGTCTCCCATCCAGATTTTAACCAGGCCAGACCCTACTTAACTTCCAAGATTAGTTCCAAGTGCACAGTGCTTAGCCAGGACTGGTTTCCTTTGAAAGGACACTATTACAAGCTTAAGGAATCTAGTAATATTTAAGTTTATTTACAAATATACAATTTGACCATAGGTGAAAGTACAGTGCTTAAATCAGCAGTAAATCGACAGCCCCATATCAGAACTCCAGAAATAAGCAGTCAGCCGACTAAATGTCCTTAGCCCCAGAGCCCCTATCTCTTGTCTCTTGCTATCTCTCATTTCGTTTCATTGCCGTTTCATTGTCTAAGCTGATTGCTCTGTTTCATGTACAAGCCTCCATTACATCATGGTTAGCTTGAATTGTGGGAAGAAAGGCCTCTTTCAGGTATCTCCTAGCCATTCAGAAGGCTTGAGAAAGATACAGCCACTGACAGCGGATCATCCAATTTCCCTAACAAAAGATGTAATTGGCAATTTTGCCACTTCTAAGAGTCTCCAGTAGTACCTCCATTAATCCTCTGTTGAACAAATCCCTTCCAGTCTTGCAATAGGAGACTGCGGTTCCTCAAAACTGGAAGAACCTGAACCAATGGGGAACACCTGGATTTTCTATAGATTTATGAGACCACCAATATCTCAGCATTATACTGAGTGATTATGGTATACACTATGACTATGCTTTTGTTTATTAGAAAAACAAATGAGATGTTCATCTGGTAAAGGGAAACAATGATCCAACTTATACTTTAAAAAGGCTCTTAGTTTTGAAGAAAATGTAGCCTGGAGTCTGCATTAGAAGTAACAGGAAAAGTTCATTCTAACAATTTGTGACCTTATTCATATGTAATGACAACTGGAATATGGGTTCAGGATGGGTTAGGTAGAAGCATAAGGGGCTGTTAGGTGTGAACCCTGCACTATGGTTTAACTATGGGTTTGCCAACCACAGGCAACCCAGGAAGAGAACCCAGGATTTATTGTTGGTTGCAAACCCTGTGTTGCTGCCCTTTAACAACCCACAGTTGTTAGGGTTCACACATAATGACAACTCACAAATTAATGTCAATCCATAGCCAAACTGTACTTAATTGTTGTATGTGACCCAGGTCATTGTATGAGATCACATCACAGTCTGGTCCCTTCAGTTTCAAATGGGCTAGAAAATTATTCTTCCCTCCAACTGTCCCCCACATATACCATATGTTTCTATTGCTTTAACAGAGAAATTCCAATCCTAAAAAGGCCTCTGGGCAATGTTCCAATGAATACTGCTTGCTGGAGAATTTGGAATACATATGTTTAATAAAAAGTAATAAACCTAAGCCCCAATTCTAACTTCAGCTGAGGCAGAACTATTCTTAAGTCTGCAATTCTATCTATGTACCTGGGACTAAGTCCCCTTCAACTCCACAGGAATTACTTCTGAGTAGACATACACAGGATTGCACCATATCTAAAATTAGTAGTCTAGCCTTCCCCAACCTGGTACCTTACAGATGGTTAGACTGAAACTTCCAGAATTCCTGTCCATTGGCCATTTTGGCTGAGGCAGATGGGAACTGAAGTTCAAAAATACCTGGAGGGCACAGGATGGGAAAGCTTGAGCTTGCTCTGATGCAGCCTAAGGGGTACTGACCTTGTGGTGTGACACGGGGAGTAAGCAGCATTGCTGTACCTTTGTGACTACCTGAATGCTGCCCCACAGTAGGGCTTGCACAGCTGAGAAATGGGCAAAGAAGGGACCAGCTGGAAGGCAGACAGTACAGGAAAGCAATGACATTATCCATTGCCAGGCTTTACAATGACAAATGTAAAGCTGTGGTCCTATTCTTAACAATTTCTTAACTTAAAAAACACAAAATAAAACCTCCTCACATACTTCATAAAAGATGCACAAATAACATGGCAAACCATCACACGATGCATCCTAGAGTCACTGTCTTCTTGCCAGGGCACAAGACTGGCCTTTGCCAGTGAAATTACAGCTACAAACTCATCAAAACTGCAGCAAGAGAACAGAACACGTGCATCAAGAAACACAGCATGGAGTCACATAACTTTCTTCTACATTTAAGACAACATAAGAAATGAAAGAATAGGGGGCTCAGTCACATGATGTAGAAATGCGCCTGTCAGGATTGTAAGAAATAAATCTCGTGAACCCTTTTTGACCATCCCATGGAAATGATGAATTGGTGCCCAGGCTAAGAGTGGGGAGGGATACCAGGCCCTATACACCAGTAATCTCTGCAAAGGATAATGTCTTTTCTTTTAACATTTTGCAATTACTTGTTTCATAGAATCAAAATTGAACCTAGCAAAATAAAATGAAATTGGATCCTCATTTGAACAAACATTCTATTGATTGTCCAACATCAATATTTATTTCGTTATTCATGCATGCATTTTAGCTGTTCATCTATTAGATTGCTCAAGGTGACCTATGAGCATATTAAAATGCAATATAATACACTGGGTGATTTTGGAAAGCAGTTCTACTCACTCAAGGAAGGGTATGCAGTTTTTGCTGATTCCTCCTATCTGCTATGGAACCCTTCCTCTACCCCTGTCCTCCCATAAGAACAGCAATACATCTGAGTCACAATAGATAAGACTTCAGTGGTTCAGCAGTTACCCCTACATAAGAAGTAGTACTTTCTAGCAGCACAGAGGGCTTGTTGGATACAGCTCAGTGAAAATACAAAAACTTAACATCACAGAAAACCTTGATTATATGTGAGCACATATATCAGAATACTGTACCCCCTGGTACTCACCTCATTCCAGAGCACAAGATTGGAACATCCCGCCTTTTTCTTGTCTGCATGCAACCTTTTCCTGTATTACAAACTCTACTAATACATGGTAAAAGTGTATGGCCTGGGTCAGGTATTGCCTTTGACTAAATTACTCTGGCAACCCCAAAGCATGATGTTTGTAGTTCTATTTTTTCAAGTAAGCATGTGATCCACACAGATGATTCACAGGCATGTGAAGAGTGACTAAGGGGTAAAGGTTTGCCTCTCAGGTTCTTTTGGGTCACCCAGATTTTATCTGTACTAAACCCAGGTCATGTTTCTGTGAATTCTCTGAAATAATGAATTATATAGGAGGTATGCAGCCAAAGATCTGCAGGGTAAAAGAATTTCCCTAATTCTTTCATTCTTTGTGTACTACTTTCACACTCATTTCTTCTCCATCACACAGCAGTGTGGTATGTCCATATGGAATATATATAGATGTCATTTGGCTTGCTGATATTCAAGCTACCTGTTCTTAAAAAGCTAGCTAGATGTAAACTCCCATGCAGGAGAGAGGAAGTGAACCAGTTAGAAAAATACAGTGCAGAAAATTAGAAGTTCACAAAAGGAATAGCAGCATTATATTATCCTGCCCGCATCTACTCCTTTGATACTTCCCTATGTGGAACTTTCACTTACTTGCAGACTTAACTGTCTCCTTGATCGAGCCATCTCAGGTTTTAATCCAGTGCTATGTTTTATCTCAGCACTTTATGCAAGGAGAGATTTCAGGGGTGCAACACCTACAAGGGTTTGGTTTCCTTTAGAATTAGTTCATTGGTGACTTTGCAGCATTTTGTAGTAAGTCTGTTTAGTTGCAAAGGTATAGGTTGAGAAATTGAAAGCACAGCATTAAACTCTCTGGAAGATGTCCCAAAGTTCTTTGCTCAGCAGTCAGGAAAGGGGAGAGAGGCAAAGCTACAGGAGGCTTCCAGAGCCAAAGCAGCTCTCAGCTTCTTCTCACTGTCTTTGTTCACACTTCCTCCCTCCCATTGGCATTATCCTTTGCCAAGAAAGAAGGAATGTAAGTCCCTGGATACTTCTCATGCAGACATCAGCTAATCTCCCAAACAAAGGGAAGCCACTGGACAATGTTGCCAGGACTATCAAGAAGTCCATGGCTCTTACAGATATGCCTCTAGCAACCTGTGTGGAGGGAAAAGCCCATTCACATACATTTTAATATTACTGAGCTGGAAGGAATACCAACAGGTCAGCTTCTGCAACCCTCAATAATCCCGTAACAATATATTTAGTTCGAAATAAATCTTGCATAAACTTCACATGGATTTATCTTAAAACTTCATGTGATTGTTGCCTTTATTTAGGAACAAATCCCACTGGATTATAATTTACTTCTAGGTAAACATGGATATGACTGGGATTTAAATTACAAGGTCGTATATTGGTTCTAATTAATTTAGGATGTAAATTTGTGG